TCCTCCTCTTGAATCAGGATAGCCGTCACCTCGGTGTATCCATTTTGACTGAGCATGTTGCGCTATTTCAGCTATCTATGCGGCTTGAGTTTACTACCCCTTAATTCCATATCTTACTGATGTCGCATAACAACTTTTTAAAATGAAAAATGTTTTGGACAAAATCCCGAGTGACTTTATTAGGTAAGCGATCGGGTAAACATTCTCGTTACTTGGCTGGTATTTGTGTCAACACAACTCATGCATGAATAATAAATGCAGTAGAAGCTGGAAACGTAAATCACAAATTTCTGGGCAAAGTAATCCAGAAAGTAAACTTTTTCTTAGCAGCTGGGAACTGATTCTTGGGCATCCATTCCTTGCTAGGTCTTAGATAAAATACTCAATTCATTGTCAAAAGGGTGTTGTGGAGAGTCTGACCCGGCTGTCCTGCTAGTACCTACACATGTCAACTACTTCGTTCTGCCACCTTGGAGGCTTGACAGCGTTAATTTCCGATTTTCCAATGAATGTGGATCAATGATGGATAGATCTTTTCTAAAATTCGACCGGACCCAATCTATTATCCGCCCAGCGAAAGTGAAGTGCCTAGTAACCCACAAACAATGGCGAGGGCTTGGAACGCTGGTGTTTGGGAGAGAATTATGGCAAATTAGATATTACACTGGACACTTCTAGAACCTAACGGATCTCTAGAGTCAGTTGCTGACTCTGTCAAGCAGCTATCCATAGTGTTCTAGAGCTATCCTTATAAAAGCGATACCCTACGTCCTATTAAGCTCTATTTACCACTTTGCAATAAGTTTAGTGGACTTGTTTTCATTAAATTGGTCTAAGTGTCCATAAAGCCGCATACGGTAACAATGTGCTCACCTGGGGCGACACCTGGTGGTGGAGTGGCGACTTTCAGTGCAAGTCCAAATGCACCAGGGAAACTGTTAGAGTCGCGCACAACGAAAGTACCTGGTGCCTTGTCCCGCAACATGTTGATTGCTGAAATTGAGGAACTGGATTTCAGGAAAAAGGCAAATGAGGAAAGTTGAGAAAAGCTAGAGAAATGACTTTGAAGAAAGAGATCAGGAGAGAAGAAGAAAATGAGTGGAAATATCTTAGAAGTATGACAGTTTCCATAAATTTTGAAGAAACGCTTGATTTTATTTGTATTTTCGTGTCTGCTTACATTTAAAATTGGCTAAAACTGTTTAAAAATTAGATTCTGGATTTCGGACGGATTCATTTTGATTACCGAAAACTATATCGTCTGATTTAGATGTTCTGAATTTAGATTGGGGAAATATTAGAAACAACTCTACCTTATCAGCCTATTTAGGCAATTTTCATTATCCCCAAGTCTGTTTGACGAGAACTGGACATTATCCCTGTTGTAAAAAGTTTGTTTATTTGTTTATTTATAGTTGTTTTTGACTTTCCTCGATCCATCACTCGGGACATTTTAAGGTCCAGTTTTTCTTGAAGAAATTTAAGGCTCCACTTTTTCTTGAAGAACTGTTTCTGACTTGCAGGACTATCTCTGACAAGTCTCTAGGGAGTTTCTGGAGCTTTCCAATTTCCGAATGCATTGCTCATTTTCAGAGTCGATAAAAAACCAAAATTGCAGATGAAGCCATTTTCAGTGCAAAAACCGTGACACAGTCATTTCCTCGTCCATCATCTAGAATAGCTGTCCTATCAATCTCCCGTCAGGTCCTGGTGAGGGCTTAAAGACTGGGCGACTTAGTCCGGGAAATCTGATATGCAGCTTATTCGCATGAAAGCGTACCGCCACCATTTTGGCCCTGTTTGCTATAGCTATTAGGAGCTTGAGCGTTTTCACAAAGGATAAACATGTAGGCGAAAGTGACCGACCAGCTGCTTAGTGACGTACATTGTATTGAACAATAATAATCAGTGATACTCACACCTATTGTTGATAATGAATGATAATTAACGATAACGATACTAATATGACACTAGAGGGAAAAGCGGGATAGGATCTACCTTGCTATTTCTTCACAGGATTTCCTTACAAGGCTCGTGAAGCTGGCTCGGAAAGGGCTAAGATTTAGGCCACTCTTAGGGGGGCCTAGTGGGTAATTGGCCTGACATTTGACAAGCCCATTACGATACATCCTGTTTCCTTCCAGGACCTCTGGACCATCAAGACATATGGGCGTTAAACGATAAATGCCAGAAATCAGGGCGGACCTTCTGTTTAACTTGATGGAAGCAGTACCTAAGTAGCAGTACCTGTTTACTAAGCAGTACCCAGTCCATCTGCACAGGTTAGAATACGGAAAATCTGAGCATTCTTTTCAAAATTTCCCCTTATTTTTCATTTTTTACATTTTGTAGAGAGCGAAGAGCAAATGGGGCTTCTCCTACTACATGTTCCTCCCTCTTCGGGACAAAAGCGTAGTACCAAAACCGATTCCCTGGCGATATTCTCTGGAATGTTTCGGCCTCATCTTACAACTGATCTAATTATGTCTCAAGCTGTATCCTGTTCAAGAGCCGACCCTCAGCAATTTCTCTCTCGCCCATCTATCATGCGTACGAGAAATCGCATAAAATCGGCCGAGAGTAAACAAACTGACGCTATTTATTGTTGACAACCGATGAGAAATGTCCAATAACAACCAGATCAAGTCAACTAGAATAAATAGTAAAGCTTTTCCCCTTCGGAGACTACTTGACGGCCTGACTCAAGCATTCTTAGCACTTATTCGTTAAACAAACTGAGTATAGGCACGACCAGTGAACGGTGCTGAAAGTGAAGCTTAGAGAAATCGAGAACCGGGAGAGGGAAACGGATCCTACCCAGAAATGACTTATACGATACCCATTTTTTCCCCTGTTTCTCATTCGGGAAAACTAGGGAATGGGAAATAGGGGAAGAGGAAGGGGGTTTGCAGCCTAAGGGATAAAGAGCACAGGAGGTAAGAGAGCACTGAAACAGGTCTGACCCTCCTTTGAGTCCAAGCGTTCTGCCCGCAACTCGGCAACTTTGTTAGAAATAAAAGTTANAAAGCCTGTTCTACCACAGAGATCAGGTTAAAATGAGTGAGTTCCAATTGAATTTCATTCAACTTGTCCTTTCTACTAGAAAAGTATAGCCGCTTAACCTTATTCATCTGCTTCTGAAGGTAGAGGGCTTTGATGAATAGAATAGGACCGAACAGGAAATTTTCTGACTACACTGCTTCTCACATGACCACTTTTTAATTTTTCTTTACAACTCATTATTTTCATGTTGAGAAGTCATTAAGAAGGCCAGGTCAAGCGGGGCTTCGGTAGATAAAGAGTAAGAGGTGCCCAGCAGGCACAGATGAGATTACATTTCAGTCTGAGGCCGGAATTTTACCCATAATCTGCCAATCTTGTGAGGCTTTAGTATCGCGTGCTGCAGTTAACAATGAATTCAGGTCAAAACTATTTTCATTTACGTTTCTATTGAAATTACATAAATTATCAGACCCGGCCACCGTATAGATGGCACCCGGGAACCGTGCCGCCGATTTCCCTTCACTTCTTTTTTACAAGCGGAAAATCGCTGTGTAAACTTACTTCATTCCCCTTCATGTTCCTTTTTCATGATCGAAGAAGCGACGGGACTTGTTTTACTCTTTTTAATGATGTTCCCTGCAGTTTTTTCCTTCAAAGTGGCATGTTCAGAACAGCCATAAAAGCAGAGTACATGGGCATTGCAGCGTGTAGAGAACGACTTTGTCGTCGAATCGAGTGGAGCATGTGAATTTTCGGCGACTTTTCCAGGCTATGCATGAATAAAAGGGCTACGATGCATTTCAAATCACTTAGCTCAGCTCAACGATCTCAAGTTGTCTGAGGACTTCCCGGAAATCCGATTTGTTACGAAGTGTCACATATTTAGCCTTCACAAATCCCAAATGAGTACGCTACTTGGCAAATTTCAAATTGACTTTTTCCCGTCGTCGAACAAATTGTCGGAATCTCATTACGGAGTCGACGACCACATCATCTCGTTGTCGTGACTCTGATTTGGCCCACATAGGGTCCCATTTGAGGGCTTGTCACCATAAATCGTGTTCATAAAAGCTGAAAAATTCTGGCACACACTCACAAATTGGTATCGCCCACTTCCGTTGAGCGTGACGAGGGCATTTTTCAGGAAGTTGGTCGGCTTTCCGACCAGAAACCAACGAAATCAGCTGATGCGCGAGCGATTTCAATGGGTAGTAATTTTGAGTGATTTACGCAACTATTTTGGGAGCCACTTTAGTCGTTGAACTCTGCAGACGTCCAGAGACCTCTCCGGAAAGTACCCACAATGAACTTTAGCAGTGATTAAATACCGGAAGTGAAATGCATTTGAGCCAAATTGCCCTCACCGACAATCGTAAAATAGCCCCGTAGTAACAAGCCAGGGAGGTGCTCTCTGGTTGTTTTCGACGGCTAAATGCATAAAATTGCTTTCCAATGAGATGCCCTTTGGTTGATCAGGGTGTTAAGCCACTGAAGCTAATTTGAGACTGAATTTCCTGGATTGAGCCTGAGCCCCCTGAGCTCCTCGATCAAAGCAATCGAATAAGCCTGGAGACATCGTAAGACGGCCGATTGCTTTCTTAAAATGCCTCCAAAAAAGGAAATGGATAAATTTTGGTATACTTACACTTAAAAATAGCAAAAATAATCCAGAAAAGATAGCTGGGTTATTGCGCAGCCTTTTGAGGCCAAATATCTCAGCTTTAGAATAGAACAAGGGTCAACCTTAGGCTTATCTATAGGAAACGCTTAGGGTACCACTTCATATTGATTCCTCCTAGAATTGAGGACCTCATCACTCAATCGAGTGTACAGGTGATCTATCTCCCAACTGTCTGGGGAGAGGGACGGGTGAGTAGGGGGAAGGAATCAGGCTGAAGCTTTGAAGGGTCTTTTCTTTCTAGCAGCGTACCCCAAAAATTGAGAGGCTCTTCTCATGGAAACACTGGGTGAATCATTCACTGAACCTGGGCTACTTGTCTTCCACCGTCCCTCGTTTCACCCTTATCTCGGATAAGCTTCTCTCGTATTTCCTTGGAGCTGTGACTGTGCCCATTAAGTCCTATCCGTCGAGTAATCTCAAGGATACCCAAGGGCACATGGTATTTTGAAGCGTTATTCATTGAGTGCAACCTACTATCAATCCGACTTGGACGCAGACCTAAGGGCGTAGGAGGTCCACAAGATGACTTTTAGACAGCGGACCATGTTCAAATTACTCTTCGAACCCTTCCAGGGATGTCCGGTTCCTGTTAGTCAGAAACATGATCTTGTGAGGAAGAAATTAGCCCAATAGCGACATCCAGCGAATGTGAGACACAACCTACACCCTCCCCCCCCCCCCCCCTCTCTCTGCACCAACCAAATTCAGCTCTACTGTGGCATGGTAGATACTGGGGAAATTCGAGACATGCTTGTTTCTCTACAGATTTTCAACGATGCTGAGAAGCAGCGACCATAAAAAATGTCGGATCCTAAGGGGAATTTACATAAAGTGCGGCTATCATCGGAACGAGCGCCTACATGGTTCCTCATAACCTTCCCAATTTGACGCTAATCCTCCGACATGGGGGGCAAAAATGGGGCGTTCAGTTGTATACGCTCAGCAGAATCAAAAAAAAGAAAACGAATTATACAGTTAATCTAATTATGGCAAGAAGAATCTAATGTCCCTCGAAGAAGCTGGAATTTGAATTTTACTTCATGAACACCCTTCTGTCCCTGGCTAATACTATTTTTGAACCCCGGCTTCCAATTTTCGTCGATTTTTGAACTCCGGCTTTCAAAACTCCGCTGTCGTTTTGAACTCAATGAGCATTTTCCGACCCATTCTTCTTTCCCCTTCACAGAAATGCAGTCAGACTATTGGAGAAAAGCTATTATTCCTTTTCAAATGGGCCTCAGAAAAATCGTGCACTGCCTTGAGAAACGTCACTTTCAATCGCTAAAATGGATAGCTCCAACATCGTTTATCCCAGAATTTATGACTGATTTTTGAGCCTTTTGGGAGCCCTTTGGGAATGAAAAGTGGCAGTCGTTAAAAGGAAAGGGAAGGTTCTTACATCAAGGTACCTAGTCAGGATTTATTGGCATTTACCTGCAGCCGATAGGACTCCTATGCTGATTGCACTCGGGACCTTGGAGTTTCCTCGTATCTTCATCCATCCATAAGCATTACTTGTATATGAATTGTAGTTGTTTAGGCCTCTCCTAAGCTGAGCTGCCATTTTGGAACAAACAAGTAAACAGCATGTTCCCCAAGGACAAACCAGTCAAAATTCATTTACGAGGGTTGTTTTCCGTCCAAGAGGAGTGAGGGACAAAATGGATGCCCAAAAGCGACAAACATGGAAAAGGCTGTCCAGCCTCACCTGACGATGATGGGTACCCAGTCCTTGCTCCCGTAGCTTCTCAACCTTCCCCTTCATGATGAATCTTCAGGGAG